AAATAAATTGCTATTATAATTTCATCAATTATTTCATTTCTTTCAATGCATTACTTGAAGCCTAGCTTGGAACTCCAATAATATGCACACATGCCATGTGAATACAAGATTTATTATTTGACAGTGCTACTTTATTGGCAAAAAAAAATTAGGGCTTTGAATAAAAGCATTATATTAGGTGTTCTGATTTCAGTGCTCCCTGGCACACTAGAGAACAGAGATTCCCAGAATTCAGGGAAAAGGAGCCTCCCAATTTTGGCCCTAGGCCTGTGTGCTGATGTTCTCTAAGGCAGTCCTACAGGCAAATCCATTTACTCCTCAATGCTCTGCAGTTCTTCATCGTGCACACTGTGTGCACACTGAGTGTCAATCATAACAATTCTTCCCCCAGATGACAGGCACAAGATGTGAATTTCTAGGGATAAATGGCATATCTGAGGAGCTTTACTTGTTCCCCTTAGAATCCAACTGGGATTCTAAGAACTCCATCTGCCTCTCTGCACAGCCTCTAGGAAGGTGAAGTAAGTGGGCTCCTGGGAACTGCATTCTTCATCCCTGAGGAAGGGCCCTTCTCTGGCATCATAGAAAAGCCTACACCAACCCAGAAGGTAGAAAATTAAGTACTTAAAAGAAAACAAGTCTATTTAATAAACTTCATAGAAGCTATCGAAGTGTGACTTTTCTTTTTTTAACAGGGGGAAAAAAACTGCTTCACAATTATTTTTGGAAGAACATTAATCCAAAATTTTGCCTTGAATTAGCCCAGATTTTAAGAAAATGCCTCTTAGAGGTTTTTGACTACATAGCAACCTGGCCTCATTACTCAATGTATGAAATTCTCTTTAACAGCAGGCATACTTGTCTCCAACTCACAAGCATAGAAACAAATGTCAAAACCAAATGGATGTGACTTGGAGATCATGTCATTTTTGACTTTAAACTTTTTCACTCTCCTTTCAGCAAGGGAAATCACTGATATTGGCTAGACTCGAAATTTAAGAGTGATTCATGACACTTTGGGGTATAAACACAAGCAACTTTCTGTCTTGATATTAAATATGAAAATCTGTCTAAATAATCAGAGTATGTATGACCTCATAAGAAGAGAATTCCATTTTCAGGACTTTCCTTGGGGCAACCTGTAATACTGTATTATCCGCCCCAAAAACCTTCCCTTTGCCCATCCCAGCTTAGTAGAGGCACTCCTCAGGAAGTCACATACTGATGTGTTTTCCTCACACATTAACACTGGGCCTGATTAATACTTGCAATTTATGATTCACTTACTTATGACCCTGCAAGTGGAAGTACAAGGCAATGTTGTTCATTTTTATGAAGCTTCTAAATCGTGTGGGCACTGTAGATATTATGGGCAAGATAAAGGCAAGATAAAGATAAAGGCAAGATCTTTCCTTACCTAAATTCTTCAAGAGACACAGAGGGAGAATTATGCCAAAGGTAACCATCACCACCAGAACTCGGCCGTCCACATACCAGGCTCTGAAAGGCAGGTAAGCAGCTAGGCTCTATGTTTTGTTTAGAAAGTGACACGCCTGCCCCAGGTAAAATTTCATGATATATTGTAATTCATGTTTATTACTAATTTTACTATTGATATTTTTAATCATTATTCAGGTTTTATCCAGACACTTTAACCCAACCATTACTCCTTTACTACTGCCTCACTCCCAGGTAATGAAAGAAGGGGAATGAGCTTTGTCTCTCATTGGCTAAATGTGGCATTCCTCTGAATTATTTATGTAGTTTCGAAGCTGAATGCATACATTGCATTCTGTCAGATTACAACTTGTCCTATCAATTATTTAAAGAGAAAGTTCCTTTTTGTTTTGCTTGGCTGGTATCAGTGAGAATCGAGTCACCACAGGTAGGCAGTTCTCTCTCGCTGATCCCTTGGATTTGACCTTGAATCCCGAGGATAGAGCACTAGGAACTCTGGCTCCTACAATTCTCCAAAGGAAAACAGAAACTAAGACTAATAAGAACTATTAAACAAGAAAGAGTCAAAACATAATTCCTATGCCAAAAGTGGCTGGCAACATTTTCCAGGGTTAGCAACATCTTTAATGAGGTTCGTTCATATAAATTTTGCTCCCCAAATGGTATAAGCCTTTAAGTAAGAGGCTAGGGTCTTATTTTTTGTATTTTTTCATGTATTTTTTCTGCTTCTGTGTAAAAATATTCTATATCTGTTCTATTTCACAGAAATTTGATATAGATTTCAGGCTCATGGGAAAATGCAGTATCAATTGTTTGCAGCATAGCAGATAATTCTACCTTTAAACGTTCATATTCAAATGGCTCTCCCTGCTTCTTTCACTTATATATCCCCAAAGAAATTTATTGTTGAACAAAGGGGGGAAAAAAAAAAACCAGCCAAGGAAAAACTCTGTTTCTGCAATTTTCATAAAACAAAAGCTTTGGTTAGCCTGCATTTAAATTAAAAACATTTTAGTTTTATTACACACACACACACACACATACACAGAGTCTATAACTTACGAAAATGCCTCTTCCTTTCCCATCAGAAATTTTATGGCAGAGGGTAGTTCATTTTTTACTATGAAGAGGTAGCTCAGCATTGCTGGAGGAAAATGAGAACATTTTTAGAAAAATAATACCAAAGATCATATTGCAAGCTATCTAGAAGACTACCAGCCTATTCTTAGACTAACCTTCAATAAGACACAAAGGTAGCTTTAGCAGCCCTAGTGGGATATTTGTCTTTAAGTAAGAACGGCTATCTCTGCCTTACATTCCATGTGTGATAACTGCTTGAATTGTGTGGACACCCCACTACCAGAATTAGAAAAGGCAATAAGTCACATACTTTATGTATGGAAAGTATGTTCTCTTTACCTCCAGTGTTCTGTAGAGAGGTGGCTCCAAAGATGACCAGCTTCCCTGTGGTGCCAAAGACTTGTTCTCCCAGCTTTTCATAAACCATGCAGCCTATTTAAGAGTCAAAATTAAGGACACAATCCTGTTGACCATTCCTCAAATTATTTTGTGTCTTTCTCAAACTCAGACAAATAGCAGCCAACTTGGCTATGCAAGGGTTAATGCATTACATTGATAAAATAACATCTTGACATTTTTAAAGGTCAGACATGATCACCATTTCTCCTTTTTCAAGCTGGCTACAGTAGCATTATAATCAAACTCTAGATCATATGGCTTATTTTAAAATATCTCTACCTTACTGGAGGGCAATTCCCACTTTCATCTTTTTCTCAGGTTTGGTATGTACTACTGAAGAATTGATTAAAAAAAGATCCTGGTGTTTAAAACAAAAAGATTCCTTTATGATTAACTACCTGAACAGATCAGGCTAACAAAGAATTATCTTCGTAACATTCCATCAATCCCTCTTGTCCTAAATATAATGATAGGCTTCTAGTAGTAATCACATAAGAATTCTGATCATTCATAAAATTTAGTTCAAAGAAAGCCGCAGACAAATCTGAGCCAAGACTAATCTGGCTGTAGCAAAATTCTAAAGTGATCAAAAAGCTCATATCAGTAGATACTAAAATTGTTATCCATTCATTAAAAACAACAACAACAAAAACTGCCTGGGTAGGGTGGCTGAGGCAACATCAAGGGCAGCCTGGGCAACTTACAGACCCTGTCTCAAAACAAAAAAATAAGAGCTGTGTGTATGGCTCAGTTGGTAGAGTATTTGCCTAGCATGTGGGTGGTTCTAGGTTCAATCCCCAGTACCCCCAAAAGAAAAAAAGACAGAACAACAACAAAAAACAAAACACAACGACCTGTTACATTTCTTTATGACAGTTCAAGAAAGCAATATGGATCAGGCTATAATTAAACCTTTATTTAATCTCTCATAAGACTGGTGTTTAAACTAGACAATGGGTAGATCCTAAATTTATTACAAAATGTTCCAGTCATCTGTATACAATAATAGCTGGCCAATGTGGTTTTAGCTAATGTAAAAGTCAAAGTATTACAAACATAATCCAGTGTCCCAGGAATAGAAAATAAACACTTCAGGTATTACACTGCCCAGAGAACTTGAAGTCCTTGGTAGCTGGCTCCCTCCCACACTGCCTCAGGAGTAACATTTTCTCCTTGGAATATGCACCAAAGAGGATAAAAGGTCTATTTACTTTTTAAAACCTTGGAGGTTATGATATAAAACATGCAATCTTTGTTCAGGATTTATGAAGGCCTAAGGGAAAACAGAAGCCTTGAAAATGAAGTCATCTTAAAGTAGAAAAACAGATGCAACTAAGGGTTCACTTTAAATGACAATGCTATTTGCTCATTGCTCATGACAATTTAAACTCGAGTGCCTGTTTCTCTAGGCAAATAACACAATAAGTCTTCCAGTTACTGTAGGTCAAAGTAGTCCTTCTTTTTAATAATCAAATTGCTGAACAAAGAGAGCATCATTTGTTCACAATTCACCATGAACATTATTCACCTCAGCCTTAACAAAATCAGACTTTTTCTTAGCTTACCTGTTTCCTTGGAACAGATCAATAGAAGGTTTATTGAATAGATGGACAGCAATGTCACCGAAGTCAAAAGTATCCTGAAGCAAAGAAAATAAATCCTGTTGTAATAACTAGAAAACAGCATATTCTGATCTTGCATTCTAGAAGGGCAAAGGTTTATTTATATGGTTCACACTATTTGTTAATAGTATCCAAAATGTGGAAACTGTTAGTCACCCTGCTTTAGAAACCTCCATAAAAATGTCCTACCAAATAAAGAAGTGCTCATTAGAATCTGAGTAAGTCTACCAGTGCAAGTTCTTTATGTCATTCGAAGCCGAAACAGCTCTCTGGGAACATTTCAGTTGAGATGACTGTAAGACCACATTGTGAAACAACACATTTTTAGTCTAGGGTATGGATAGTCTCTCTTTACATCTGGGTGAGAAAGTGGTTTGGGGGGTAGGGAGTGAAAAAAAAAGCTTGCAGGGAGTGACCTTCCAAGAGAGACCACGTGACTCTGGGCAACTTGCTTCACTGCTTCCATGGGTGGATTGAAGACACCAGCCAAAAGATGTGACCTTTCCCCCTATGGCTATTTTCAAATCTATACCTTGTACCACTTATCTAATTTCCTTGTTTTTTGCATGTGGTTCCTCTGAGATGCATACCCACCTCTTCCAGTGGGGAGATTCTGACAATCAAGCATAATGAAAAGGCTTTTTTCAATGATGAACTCGTGTTTTTGTTTTAGTACATCTGGCTCATTATGAAACCCTTCTCAAGAAAATTTACAGTTAAAATGATGTGGGAGATTACATAGATTATTTCCGAATCCTTTGGTTAAAACTGACATGATACTAAAAATAAAGCCCATTTATTAAAAAGAGGGGGGAAAATATTCCATTCCCCAAGTGAAACCACTCACTCTCTGATGTAGGGAAATACAGACCTAGAACAATAAATTACTGCAATTGATTCCATGTTTGAGTAAATAAAGGCAATTATTTTCCTAGCAAGTGATGTTGAGAGGCACTAGGCACAACATGCTGTTCTTGGCGGGGCTCCTACTCCTGATCCTCCCCCACTGCACACCTGTTGAACTCCGGGGGCTCTTGGCCCAGCTCAGAGGCCATCTCATAGGGCCATTCCTTTGCACTGGGTGGAATGACTATTCCTTAGTCTCTGGTCCTATAGCATTTTGCTTCTCCTGCATGCAAAATGCTGTGGAGGAAAACAGGAAGTACAGAATGGTCACCAGCTAAACAGATGGACTGACAGAAATTGGTCAGAAAACAAAAGAGAGTCGGAGCACTTGGGAGGAAAAATAGAAAACCCAACACTTTGTGTATAGGCCAAACTGTCCTGCCAATAAAGGGGAATTTAGATTAATTATGCTGATGGAGGAGATACCTTCAGATGCATATTTGTTTAGCTTGATAGAGGAGATTAAGATGGTAAGTGATTAAGGGGGGTGACTAAGATGGTAAGGTAAGTCCCTTACAATCTTTGCTGGTTAAAGGACATAAAACATTGAGAGGAAGTGTTTATTGATCAACCCAGTAGCTTTGACATATGTAATGAAACATGATTTGATATGCTCTGTGAGAGAAAAAGATACAGGATCAAATTGTAGCTTGATTTTTTTTCCCCTATAAGATAAATAATATTTATGTTAAAAAAGTAAACTTTTGAGTTTTATTCAGAGTTTTCTCAAGTGCAAGGATCCTGAACACTAAGTGGCGACTTCTAATGTGCATATGACAGACCCTGGAGACACAGAACAGAACAGTATGGACTTCCCAGTGAGGAGAGGATGGGTGCCATCTTAGGATTTTGTCATGTGCTATTCTGGGGTGATCATGTGACCTAATCGGACTCTGCTGGGGCCTGATAAGAACAGTACAGGAGGTATTACTACAGACCCAAGGCTGTGGTATGACCTTGCAGAAAGATGTGCCTAGCAGGAAGTATTAATTACTTAGCATCTATATAATGATTTACCAAAAGCTCTAAACTTGGAAGAAACTAAATACCTAATAGCAAAAGAAATACTCTATGAAAACATTTGCAGTGTTCTCTTCGCTAATAGCCCCTGGAACCACATGGTTGTCTCTTCACGCATTCTATAGTTGAATCTCTTAGTGGATGATGCTCATCAGTGGGCCTCTGGCCCTTGTCAAAGAATTGAAGAATTTCTTCATAAAATCCTGTTACACCTTTTCCTTTATCAGATGGGATAAGTGTCGATCAGAGAAGATTGGAGTAGGATGATTCCCGATTTTGTTCCCCACTTTAAAACACGGCAGGATGAAGTGCTCCCACAGCGATGGAAACAGTTCTGCCCCCATGTTTAAAGGACAGAACACTGCACCCCACAGGAAAGGACACATAGCAAGTGTCCCAGAGCCTCTGCATTTAACCATTCAATCTATGAAGATTCTCTTTCATCCCTCACAGAATATGAATCCTTCCTTTCATGACTGAAAACTAACATACAACAAAACTTTTTTTTCCCCTTGTCAGGCCACTAAGAAAGCAAACTGTGTAGGTAAAATTCTAATAATTCTTCTGGGATATCAGAAACTAGCATTAGCAAGATTAAAATTTAGAAAAGAACACCTCTTTATTTAGATTCTTAGAAATAAGCAGTATGTTGTCTAGTTGACTCTAACAGATCCCACAATGGTTTAAGAAAACCAAGTCAGAGATGCTTTGAAACACAGAAACCATGACATTTAAAGGAAAACACTGAGAGGAACAATGGGAGAGACCGTGAGGGCTTATTTAAACACTGGTGTTCAGTAGCACGATGCCCCTATTTGTCTAAAGAGGTATTTGAACACATAATTATGGCTTCCTGGAAGAGAAACACTAGCTGGTATTCTTGAGTTAACAAAGGGGAACACGAGTAATTCCTTTTTTCATTTTATCTGGATTATCATTTAAGCCTCCACACTGTTAACCATTGGGCGAAAGTTTTAATACGGCTGGCACAAACACTGGTGGCTGGAAAAGGCATTTTTACATGATACTTGGGGTTTTGAGATGTTGATATTTCACACTTGTGTCTGGCCTTGACTAGAGGGGATCTAGGGCAAGTAACTAGATGGGCTGTGGGGAAGGGGCGGTGGGAAGGTCAAAACTGTGAAGAATGTGATCAGGAAATTTTGTCTCCTGGGAGGATTGCTAGGGAACTCTAGAGGATTTCTAGACTTGAATCAGGGACAGACCTTCCCAGACGACCTCGGTCTAGATCTACAACCAGTACAAGAAACCGCCACACTCCACACAAACATACAGGTACCAGGTCTGCAAAATATGTTCTGAGAGGGGACCCATTAGGCAACTTGTTCTGTTTCTGGATAGTTCTGTGCTTTGGAACTGAGACTGAGCTGAAATCACTGCTGCTATTCTACCCTTGGTCCTCACTTTACCCTCAAGATCTGTTTGAATCTACCTGAAATCTAACCCCTCTTCTACCTAACAATCCCTCCGAAGGTGACTGGACACTTTGACTTAAACACCTCCAGACTTTTCAACGGTTCATCTTGTGAGAAAGGGTTCAGATGATTTCCTCTTCCAAGGCCTGTGTGCTGAGACAAGCACAAACAACACTACAACTTCAGTTTCTGTCCAGATAGTGCAAAGCATGATGTGATTTTCGGTTCTCTTGAGTTGGACATCATATTTCTTTTAAGGCAAACTATTTGGGGATTCATTTTTATGGGTGTCATATCACACTTCTCATTCTTTTTGAGCTCTGGTATAAAATGCCCCTAGGCCAAGTCTGCCTGATTCTAGCCTATCCTGTCTACTTTTTTTAAGTGTAAAATTCTACATTTATTTTTATTACATTTTATCTCTCAAGTCTTGTGCTATCTTTTAAAATTCTTCTTCTTCTTTTTTTTTTTTTTGGTTCTACCCATCTCAGCAGCTTCGTATCTTCAGTGTACCTTCATGAAGCCTCTGATCCTGATTGAATAGAACAAGACAATCTGCAAATGACTCACTGTCTAGCTGACGGCTCAAGCCAGAAGCCTGGAAGTCACTGTTGATTTCTTACCTATTCTCTCATTCCTCATACCCAATTCACAAGCAAAGCTCTTATCATTTCTACCTCCAGAATACATCCCAAATACATAAGCTGCTTTCCCTATCTCCACTGACATCAGTCTAAGGAGCTATCATCTTTAACTTCTGATAACTTTTACCCATCTCCCTTTTTGTACCTCCTTAGATCTATCCTTCACCCAGTAGCCAGAATCATTTTTTATTTTATTGCTTTTTTGTGTCTCCATCACCAGATTACAGGACAGGCCATGGTGACTGAATTCACCTACTTAGCTGTTTACACTCAACACCAAACACACAAACAATAGACTCTTAGCTAAGAATCAGTGAACTTACAAATATTAGGATCTGTTTACACTCAACACCAAACACACAAACAACAGGTTCTTAGCTAAGAATCAACGAATGTACAAATATTAGGATCTCGTTTGCAAGTGAAGTGAGTCTATATCAATACCTTGGTAAAATCAAGACTTATTTAGGATAGTCCCTGTGACCTACTAGTTTATCCAGATGTTGAAAGATGATGTTAGGCTGAGTTAGAAGGTGCACATCTGTAATCTCATCTAATTGGGGGAGAAGGGAACTGAGACAGGAGGGTCACAAGTTCAAGTCCAGTTTTGACAACTTAGTGAGACACTATTTCAAAATTTAAAAAAAAAAGTAAATAAAGGGCTAGCGATATAGCTCAGTGGTAGAGCATCCCTGGGTTCAATCCTCAGTATCAAAAAAGAAAAAGTTAATTTAATGCCATTTAGGGAAGTTTTAAGTCTCTATGGAGCAATATTTTCTGTGTTAACTGCACATAAACAAGCCATTTAGTAATTTGCTATATAACATTGCTTGGAGTCCACTTTTTGCCACTTTTGAAAGCTGGGATGAAATCTGCCTACTTCCAATCCTCAGGGATACTCCTGCTCTCCATGAGTTCTTAAATATTTGTGACAGAGGTTTAAGATACATTTACTCTATTTGCTACTAGAAAATTTGACTCATATCAAACAATGAACTTCTACACACTTAC